TTTGGGTTTCTAAATTTTTTAAAATCAAAACAAAAAATTTAAAATTACAACCATACTAAACGAAATCTAAATATTCTAATATATTATTTTTTTACATATATAAAAAATTAATATAAAGGTTTCATACACGTATAAATACTTAAGAAGTCATTTTGTCATTCCCTATGTTACGTTTATAAGTGATTCAACAAAATAATGCCAAACTCATGCCCAAGTAGTAAGAATCATGAAATCATAGTATCCGCACATATTCACTTCTTAAAAACCATGTCAAAATTCACAATACTAATTTTCTTAGATGAAGGCTCGACATTTGTCGTTTAAACTTTCGTATGGGTCAAAACAAGTTGCATCATGGTTGATCTTTTGTACTGACAAGAAGGAATCAGACTCCACCATCGCATTGCTGTAGTTCTTTTACCATGTAAGTTCCATAACTTTGGGGCTGTTGTAGATTTCGACAGGCATTGCATGACCTGTGCCCAATTACATGTTGAAACCAAACTGTCATGTTTCGCTCCCAACTCTCTACGAATACCCCTTGCTATCGAGAGGCCTTGGGATTTGAGGAACCGTCTACATAAGGTTTGTCTTATCCTTTGCTTTAGGACACATGATAAAAAATAATGATTAAATAATAATTACAATATTTTTTTAAAAAATGTAAAATATTAAATTAAAATTTTACATTTTTTATTTTTTAATTTAAAATGAACTAACCAAAAATTAACACATGACACTTACAATTTAAATAAAAGTCAACTTCATCACTTTTAAGGCAAAAAGTAATAATTATTAATCGATAGTTATTATTTATCCTATGCTATTAGATAAATCATTAATTATATGATATGTAGTATTTTGTACTCCAATATTACCCTATTTTCTCTAAACAGATGTATAAATTCACGCGTATTTTTCTTTGGAAGAGTGATGTGTGGTTAAGACTGCAGATTAAGAGCTGCTGGATGAACGGCGGGCTCCTGATATGGAAGGTTGTTCCTCCATCCTCAGTTTTGCAATTGGGTACAACCTAAATTGCAAAACATGAAAGAGTATTTAATTAATTATTTAAATAAAAAAGGTATTTTACTAAAAATAGTGAGAGACACTAAACATCTTCAAATTGGTAATAAGCTCAACTTTAGGTTAAATGAACTCGATTCACTAACAAGATAAGTTAAACATTATCGTGCAATTGGAAACCTATGAAGATCAATCTGAGACCCAATCTAAGTATAAATTTTAGCTAGTATTTTTTCCCAAAATAGTTAAATGTCTTTTCCCCACTGTAGCATTGGATGCATGCTGCATTGCTACAGCTGGCTGTGCTTGTGATGCTGATTGACCAGTAGCTTGTTCCTCGGGCATATTCATTGCTTGGCTTATGGCATTCAAGATTGAGTCCGAGAAGGATCAAATACATCCACTACAAATAAAAGATTCAGTTAGTCTTATTCAAGATGGCTTACGCAAAATACATTAAAGGAAATTGCAACTCTTTCCCGACTTACATATTTGGCCCAGAAAGAGCTTTCTGGTGGCTGCACAATTTCACCCTCCCCATTCTCACCACCCAGAACTACTTCAGTAAAGATTGGGGCCCTACAAAACAAAAGGCAATTATGAAAGCAATCCTTTTCTCTTTTAGACTGAAAAAAGCAACTTAAAATGAAAAAAAAAATCGCTATAGAGAATTTGCAAATATGATGTATAATTGTATACTATGATGATCAGCTTGGACATGGAGTGGATGCATTTAAGTTATTTTCTGGAACAAACTTGTCCATTGAGGAAGACCTATATCTTATGCTCTTGAAACAGTAAAAAAAACAAGATGAGATTGCAATTTACAATCAATAAATTCTCCTTTATGCCATGAAATAGCTTCCAGTTAGATGCCAATCAATAAAATTGAAGATAAAGAAAGAGTTAATAATGTTGGGAATATTAAAAATCAGAAAAAGAAAAAACATGAGCTATAATATTAGATCCAAAAACAAGCAAATAATATGGATAAGAGAATACCTTGGTGCCTACTCACTGTTCTTTAAAACTGTGTGTGGAGTTGAAGGCCCATTTAAAAGGCTGTAGTATAGGTAAAGTGAACATAGATTACAATACAACTAGAGAAAAGCCTTTTAAGACTGCAAGAAATCACCCTTAATCTTTGTGAAAGTTTAGTTAATATTGCAAAATCAGCGTGTCAAAATCAATCCTCCGTTTTACTAAGCAAGAATAAAATATTATGAAAGACTAGAAGACAATAGATATTGCATGCCATGACATGCTTAAGTACACGTGATGAGGTTATAGTTGTTGAATCTTATGAACCTTAATTGACCATACTATGGCGCGAGAAATGCTATTTGAAACTGCAACTTCAAAGTGTCTTAAATTTCTTGTAGATCCAGCATCCAGGACAAGTGTTGGAGAAAAAATTTAGATCCCATAAAACCCATTAAATTTAAAGTTACTATTAAATCTATGAGTTGACGAGGTATGATTCTACACATTACACATTAAAATAACAACTTCAATTTAGGAAAAGATATTGTAGTAACACAAAGGGAAGTTCCCATTTTTAAGATATCTGCTTAAACTAATTGTAGAATAGAACAAATGGCAACAATGACAACAATAAATTTGAGGAAGAGGCTATAATCTCCGTAGTTTACTTTGCTTAACTAACTAAGAAACAAGAGAAAAGTAAGAGATAAACTGTAACTCACAAATTTCAACTGCCGAGGATACGGACATGCCCTTGGGGACCCATAATTGACCGCCAAGATATTTACACCTTCCTACAATAGCAGGGATAAAAGAGTGATGGCAATTAGGCAAACTACAGCAAGAACTAGAAAAGGAAGTTTCATCCTGACAACCATCATATATACCTCCTTAAATAACATTTTCAATTTTATACACAAATTGACCATATGGTAATCTAAAAAAGAAATGAGTAAATAAACATTAGATGCATGTCAAAGCAGTAAAAATTTACGATGATGTTAGGCGAGTTAGTACCCAAAAAGGGAAACTCATTACCATTGATTGAATAAAAAAAAAGTCTTTTTAAAAGTGGAAAAATAATAATTTTCATTTAAAAATATGATAAATATCAAACTAGAGTTAATCCCCTTTCAAACAAGTGTTAGAAAAATTTACACATTACATTGCACACCAAAGTTGAAAAAACAAATTTCTTCATAACAGGTTTGACTAAATTAGAACAATTAGCCAAAATCCTGTCCCACAAACACACCTAGGAGAGGGGTAGGGGATGATGCAGCACCACACATAAAGTTAACTCTAAATAATCCCTTTTCAAACAAGTGTTAGAAAAATTTACACATTTCATTACACACCAAAGTTGAAAAAACAAATTTCTTCATAACAAGTTTGACTAAATTAGAACAATTAGCCAAAACCCTATCCCACAAACACACCCAGGAGAGGGGTAGGGGATGACGCAGTACCACACATAAAGTTAACTCTAAATTACCGTGTGTATGACAAAATGCTCGTCCAAACCCTCCCATGGAAGACATTTCTGCAGTTAAACAAAAAGATGGTGAAGAACCATACAAATTCATAAAGTTTTAGAATAATTTGATAACTGATGGAAGAGCATTATGGCATTACATTTTTTAAATTAATATTTGAAAACTAAAGTTTCAAATTCAAACAAAAAAGCTCTTTACTTCCACAGTCAAATGTTTATAACAATAAAATTTACTGAAAAATTATTCAACTTCTTTTAAACAAATGCTAAGAGTAAGAGTTCTTAATAAACGCAACTAAGATCAAATAATGAGATGAAATAAACATTCAGATTCAAGGCATGCTATGTGGTCAACAGATTTAAGGTAGATTGCAGAGACCCCCTCTTGAGCTTGGTTGAACATAAGTTGGTAAAACCTTAAATCTGACAGATAACTACATGGTCAAAAAGTTTCAATCCAAAAGCAAAAAAATAAATGTCCATTTGACCGACAAGCTTAAGAGCTTACGAAATATTAGCACAATCTTCAAGAGGAAGATAATTGACCAAAGAGATCAAAAAGTTTTGAATTCAAAAAAACCTTTAAGTGGTTAACTTACTGCCTTCACTGATGAGATAATATAATCCCTCCCAGGAGGACTTAGAACATTACAAATCAAAGCAATGTAGAATGATTTATTGCAAAGACAAAAAAAGAAAAAGAAAAAGGGGATTTCAAATAACATGCAATTACTTCGAACTTCTCCTTCTCCTCATCAGTGAAACCATTTCTTGAAAACCGCAGCTTTGTTAGTGTCTGGCATCAAGAAAATTTACATGTCCAATCCATTATCTTTTCTAAAAATAACAGCATGCCAACTGTAATTGACAAAGTAATCACGATCAATCACACAAATCTTAACAAAAGAATTCAAAAACTTCATTGATTGATATAGAAAACTGAAGATATGTTGGTTCAATAACAGTAAGAGAATTGGGGGTGCTTGGGGGAGAGAAAATTTGTTTGAAGGGAAAAGTGGTAAAGGAAATTATGAATAAGTGTAAAATCTTATTTGAGTTGGGCCTGCTCTTGATGCCAATGTGAATGATTTACCTAAATATTTTTGATCCCCTAAATATCTTTTTTTTTTTAAATCTTAATCATGATTTTTAACTCCAATAAAATTTTTCATATAACTTAAATATTAATACACCATTAATTAATACCTAAAGAATTTAAATTAGACAAACCCTTACTTAGATAATGTAATCTCTTAGTTCTTGTTTTCTCATTCCCTACTTTCCCCACCTTAAAATAAACATAAAATAATTAATACACTTGACATGCAAATAAGTAAAACTCTATGACACAAGAACCAACAAAGTGAAACTCTACAGCACAGGAAACAGCTAAATAAAACTCTAAGGACGAGTAATGTAAATGAAATAACGTTGATATTGCAATTGCACGAATGAGGAGGATCGAATGGGTTCATTAATTAGAGATCTCTAAGCAAACACCTAACCCTAAGCAGAGGCAGAGTGGTTATTTCCTTCGACAGTGAAAGAGGGGAAGAGAAGAAAGATGGATGCCATGCGGAAGCAGCTTGATGTGCTGATGGGCGCGAACCGCAATGGCGACGTAAGGGAGGTGAATCGGAAGCACTACGAGCGCGATGTCTGCATCCTCACGAGCTCTTCCAATTAACAGTATTCTCCTCATTGATTCGTTAATCGGTTTCTCTTTTCTTTATGCTTCGATAATTAATTGTTAGTGGTTGATATCCATTTCCTTTCTCTTTGAACCCCACTTCATGTTTTCGAAGTGATTGTCTGTGTTTGGTTTCTGAGAAAATTTGGGGTTTTAGAAGCAGTAGAAGTTTTTGGGGACGGGGCGGGGGCAAGGTAGAAGCCTAGAAGGGAAAGTGACAGATATACGCCATTTGGTTTCTAGAATGTAGCCAGAGTTAAGTTGTTGTAACTCCTAATTTTGGAAACCAAATGGCTAGGTTTATTTTATATGTATTTTCATTTTAAATTTTTGCTTCTGTTATATAAACCAATAAATAACTGATGGATTGCAAGTGAGGTCATTTGTTTCTATTTGTTAAAAATGGGATTCTTTAAGGGAGACGAATGTGGCAAGGAATCAGAGCTAAGGGTGAATTACATGTATTTAGTAACATTAATACTGCAAGCATTTTGAAAGTGGTTTGTAATAATGAAATATAAAGAAGAAACAAGAGAAAAGAAGGGCATATATATGGAAAATTCTGCCAATTAGGGAGGAGTTTAGAAAGTGTACATGGAATTAAATTGGGGATAATATGCAGAGTTTCAGACTTCATTGATTGGTTTGGTGGATGGGAGGTTGTAGTCTGTCTGAACCAATGGAGGGTGTAGACTTGAGTATTTGAGGTTGTAATTGTTTTGTACATAGTTGGAGACAACAGAGGGAAGGAGTATGCATGCATGGAAGTGATAAGTATGTTTTTAACTTGTTATTGGCATTTTTTGGTTAGTTTGGTAGCCTAGGAGGTGTAAGAATTGGCATATGGGTTACAGATTGGGGGCGGTGCTGTGGTGGCTTCTTCATCTCTCCCCGAGAAGATCATTGGGGGAATTTCAGCCCTCTGTGGAGATCAGAGAGGGCAGTTTAACAGCTTCCTTTGGTCACTGTTTTCTATTTATCATTGGTTGTTAACTTGGAAGGGAACTAAATTCAAATGTTAGGTACACTGTTGCTGATAATTTTCATTTGATTATTTTGATTCACTGTGAGGTATTGGAAAGAAAAAGGTGTGACAGATTTAAATTTTCTATTTATCATGGGTATGTGAGATGGAGGATAAATAAACTAGGTATTGTTGGTTGCACTACTAGTTTCTTTGTAATTTTAATTAATTACTTTTTCCAATTCTATTTTATTGTCAAGTGCTATGATAACATGCATTGTTTTATGAGTTGAGGAAAGTATTTTAGTGAGACTACAATTGTTAGGTAGATACTGTATGCTCATGTAATACTTATAGGTAGAGTTTCCACTGTCACATAAACCTGTGCTTCTACCATTGCAGTTAAAGACCACAACGTTGTCAAAATTGCTAAGGTATAATATGCTGGCACCCAATTATGTGTCTCAGACACAAGTGTACTCCCTGTTCGATTCTCTAGCCACAATTTTTCCATTCAACCTTGCAAAACCAAGAACACCACAATTGGTGCATGATATACAACCAAGCCAATTGTCAACAGGGGTAGCACTGAAAACAGTCCCAAATTCCTCGAAAGTGCATCTGATGCAACCCCAATAATCTGCACAGTCAATTCAATTTGATGCCAATTGGTAACCAAAATCCACACAATCACCCCAACAACTAACAACAAAAACACCACAATGATCTTGTATTTGTTATTTCAACTTCATCTTTAAGTCATGTTTGAGTTGCAGATACTTGTGGATGGTTTTCTGTGTAAGTAATTGTGACTTTAGAATTTTGGATTCCAAACTTCTTGTTTTCTTTCTCTTGTTCAGAAAATGGATATGGGTCCATGTCCAATGGTCCACTCGCTGCAGCTGAGGAGAGAGTATCCTTATAACTCATGTTGTTATATATGATTTATGATGCTATGCTTTATGTTATGTTTGCACCATGCGACTTCTACATTTTTGGGACTTGGCTTTGATCATTGGATTTGTAGGGTGCATTTTGAACCTTGTGCTTTTTGTGTCAAATAAATTGTAGACACATGGTTTTATTTTTGACACTTACCACCAATGGGGTTTACATGGTTATTCGCTAATGCCTTTGATTTAATTGCCTCTAATGATGACAAAAGCGATTACTTGAATGAAAAGATTTGGGCATTGTAAATGATAGAGAGGGATGTAGGATTGACCACATCCATAATGCAATGTTTTTAAACCCGAGTTGGAGGTCAAACCGTTTTGACCTCTCGTTCACGGTTTGATTGGTTTAATTGGTAAAACTGTCAAGTTGATCAAACTATTATAAATATATTATTTTGCAAAATATTTCGCAAAGTGTTAGTTGGGTGCAGTGGTAGGTGGCTGATTTGACATTTGAAAGATCATAAGTTTGAGTCTCTGTGAGAACAAAATTTAATATAATTTTGGTTTTAAAAATAGAATAAATATATTGTAAAGCAACAAAATAGCAAATAAAAGTTTGTGTCTCAAGTGGTAGACTCTTTGTTTCATATCAGGGAGAATGGGTGTTTGAACTTCGAATCCCATGGCTGTCATCAATAATTTAATTAAAAGCTTTGAGAATTCTATTAGATAAATTAAATTCCAAGCACTTAATGACATAAGAATTGCATCGTCCTAGTGGTAAAGAGTCAGAATTAAGGTTTTGGGGTTGTGAGTTCAAGCCCTGCGGGAGACAAATTTTTGAAGATTTTATGCCCAAGCATTGAACCGTCTGGTCGAACGATTTATCGGTTTGAACGGTTTGAACGGTTTTTACCGATTTCAAATGATTTACAGTTCAAATGGTTTAAATGACACAATCGAACCATTTATATCATCAGGTACCGGTTCAACCAGTCCGATTGGCCAGTCTGGTCCGATTTTCAAAACATTGCCATGATGGACAAAGCATGTTTTTTAATCAACCACATGAGTGCTAAGTGGTAATGAAGTTTAGTGTTGGGTTTTATT